TATTCCTCCCCCCATTTCAGGCTGCCAGAGTGCTGATATCTTCCTTTTCTGCCTTCACCTTAGTACTGAAGCTTCCTGACAGGTATCTTCCTGCACCAACATTCAGCAGCTATTCCTTCTGCCATGTACTTCACAGCTGCTACTCTGGCCTCTTTGCACAAAGGAATCTTCTGTATGGCTTCAGTTTCTGCCTTGAATTTCATTTACTAGTGTCTCTGAATCCTACTGGAGCATTTTTGTTTATGTCTAGAGGGGATTTCAGGGGCAATATATTATAGCTGTGGAAATTCCTGTAATGAAATCTGAAACTAAGCAGTGCTTTCCATACATCAGGTGAATCCTGAAACTTGCTACAAACTTGAACCAAATTGTGGGCAAACCTGTAAGGATTAAACTAAAATTGATAGTCTTTAGAACAAAGCCTTTGCAGATTAGTTTTACATAGTTTTCTCAGTTTGGAAGTAGGCCCACATCACCCAACAATGAAAAGAAAGAAAGATATATATGTGAAACATACATATATGAGACACGTGTGTGTGTGTGTATAGAGAGAGAGAGTGATCTTTCTTTCTTTTCAATGTTGGGTTGTGTGGATCTACTTGAAAATAGAGATTGAATTGCAAATTGCATATATATATATATATATTTGAAAAGATATGAATGTCACCTATATTATATTATATTATATTATATTATATTATATTATATTATATTATATTATATTATATGCCTACTGGTGACATCTTGCATTCAAAGAGATGTAGAAATTGTGGTTAGTATACTTTCTCTGCTTCCATCTGCATCTATATTTCTGGGATAGGTACACTACTTCTATATAAATTGATAGTACAATATACTACCCTTAAAAATTATGCCCTCATTTTCAATTGTCTGTCATGCAGTTTCATATGGTTGAAGTTCCAGTTGTCATTGTAATATATGGCTAAGTACAGGCATTATACTGGACTAAGTGATCAGAAATTGATCTAATTCTGTAACTGTACGGAAGTTCAACACACATCTACTGGTCTAAAAATAGCAGAACCTGGTCTAAGATAGACCTGGATCAATGTTCACTAAAATCTAATCAATTTAGATTGGTAAATCTAATTTCTGTATGAGATCCCCTATCAATTAAAGTTAAATTGCTTTTCTCCAGCATCCCAGCCTCTCTTGCAGCCCCCTGCAGCCCCCACCCCCGCCCCCTTTCAGGAAGGCATGCCAGCACTTGGCCTTTATTCAGCTGTTCCAACTGAGTGCCCAGCAGGCCCTGCTTCTGAGCTCTCCCAGATCTGAGCCACCAGAGCCCCTCTCCCAGGCCCATCTCCTGCCTCTGGCCATCTGTCAGCCTCAGTGGGTAAAAGAGTTCTCTGTGCCCCCCAAAGGAGTCCTGGGACCTGGGCACCTGAGTCCCCAGATGGTGCCCCTGCACACCCTCAGAAAGCAGCCCACAATGTACACACAGACCTGACACTGAGCCCAGGAGAACCTCTGTGCTCAGGCACAGCCGTATGGAACTGTCCCTGGCTCCTGCACACCCGGTCAGGGACCCCATGCTCCTGTGATCAGGCACAGCCCCCCAGATCGCCACCTTGGCTCCCACACACTACAGCTCAGTGGGCAGAGCTAGGCATCCTGCCACCCAGACCCTAGTGTAGACTCCCTCACAAGCAGGAGCCAGTGTGGGTAACTAGCCTCTGGTGGGTCATGGTGGTAGGGGCATAACAATGGGACTGGGCCTTTGACCTCCATTGCATGGCCACTGCCGGCAGGTCCCTGAGCCATGCACAATGGGGTATTGCAAGGCTTTTAAGGCTAATAGCTACAGGGTCCCAGAGTACTAGGGTGGAGGAGGGGGAACTGAGCATCTCAGGTAGGGAAAGCAGGGTTGAGGGCATGTTTTTCCATGCCCAGCAGCCAGTCAGGGCTGCCTTGAGCACTTGGCTGCACTCAGCAGTCTCCGGCAGCCTTGGAAGCCCACAGGGCATGCTGGAAGCCATGCAGGAATGCCCCCAACCTGATGGCCTCAATCACTGCAGGCAGCCTGCATGCCCTCACCACCAAAGGGTGAACGTGTGATCTGTTTGCTACTGATCTAATTTAGGCTGTTTACAGAAACCCGCGTACATTACATTTATTCCTCAGGTTTTTTGAACTTCTGTATTTGGCCTATAAGATGTTCTGAGTTAAAAGACTACAGTTTTTGCCTCTTCATGGGTACCCATTGTATTGTTTTCTTGGGTATTTAAGATACTGTTCTAGAGATATTTTCTCATACCTAGGTTTTTTTATTCTTACCTGTCTGATGGTTACTTTTGCCCTTATCACTATAGAAGTCATTGGGTTAATTGATTTTTGTGCCATGTTTCAAAACGCATAGATCCATGCTCATAGTATATAACCATAAAATCAGATCAGTATTAAATTTTAGAAATGCACTGAACATGATTTAACAAGGACTTCAATTTAGTTTTAAAGCAGTTACTGAAGCTCATACCTGTTTCAGATGTGAAGAGTTTGTTATATTAAACCTTATTTTTCTTTTTGTATTTTTCATTTGGTATTATAGTGTTTAACAGCTGCCACTTATTATTTTAGGAAAAAAATAACAGAGGATCTGTATATACTTCCTAGAACTGCCTGTGCCAAAATAGTTTAGGAGTCCATCAAATCCTCTATCTTGTCTCTATACCAGGCTAGTGTTTAATGTTTTAAAAGAAGGCTTTATTCCTTGTAATGCATTTAATTGCGATATATTCTACTTTATAGCATCCAACACTTGTCTTATACTGCAAACTGCACTGCTTCCTGATCCCAGTGTATTTCAGGGATACCTTGGAGCATGTTGATTAATGTTTCCCAGTATATTGACTTCGTTCTCCTCTCATTCTGTATCTTTCTTTATTAACAGAAATCCCTCGCTCTAGTTTTCCCTACTAAGAACAGTGTGACACTTTCAGTATAAACTCATACTTAGGAAGGATTTATAATTTAGAAATGTCATTTCAGGCTTAGCCTGGAGCAACTGTTTTTCAACTCTTAAATAAATGTAAAGGTTGCAAGAGAATAAAGCATTAAAATATAGACATGAATCAACATTAGTAGAGAGGGAAGGGTGAATTCCATTTTCAAGTACCACTTAGACTAGATTAATTTGTTTGTTGTCTGTTTGCTCTTCTTAACCTTAAAATATGAGCATTGCCCAGTGGTTAGCCCAGAGCCTTTTTGTACACCTCACATCTAAATGGGATTCTGAAACTTAAAAATGTGCTCTCTGAGAAGTGTTCTTTAGGTGCTGGGGTTAAATACCATTATAATCAGTAAGTCATTAAATATTTTATACTGTCTGATGAGATTCCCTTCCTTTCTCAGTTGTGTGGCTTTGTCTTCTGTGATATAATTTCATTGGCTCTCAAATGAGGGTCTTTTAGTCTAGACAAGACCTTAATTTCTAAATTAAACAAGCAAGACATTTTCTCTGCTTGGAGTTTTCTGCAAAACAAAGATAGTCATATTATTTGTTTCTTAGTTATGATTTTTCTGGTCTCATTGAAATTAAACATCCATAATCATCTTAGTGATCCAGTGCCTGCCTCTGTTGTAAACGCCTTTTAGAAAGTTTTTGTGTTTGTCTATATATTGTTCACGGCCCTTTCAATGTGCAGAAATAGATTAAACTTACTTAAAGGGCATCCTGGGTGCAATAGAAGAATAGGTCTCTAAGCAAAGGACAAACAAAATGGTATTCAAAACTCAAGTGATTAGTAAACTGAGACAGGAGACTGCTCATTGAAAAAGGACTTTAGGGCACGTTTCAATATATTTTTTTCTGAAGGCATTGTTTTAGGAAAGACATCCAGTTCTGTCAGCATTTCCCCTGCTGTTTAAAGGTAGGCTATAAAACAGCAATACTCATGGCCCTGTACGCAGAACTAGTTTATATGTCTCTAGAGCAGGGGCGGGCAATTATTTTGGGTGGAGGGCTGCTTACTGAGCTTTGGCAAACCTTTGAGGGCCAAATGACAGGCAGCCAGGAGCAGATAAATATTAATTTTCTAAATTTTTTAGGGGTCCTGTGGGCTGGATGGAATGGCCTGGTGGGCTGCATCCAGCCCACGGGCCACATTTTGCCCTCTCCTGCTCTACAGGCATCTATACTACAACATCCAAAGGTTTTTTTTAACATATGTTGTCATATAACATTATGATATAATTATCTACGCTTCAGTTTTTGAACTCAGTTTTCTTACCCTAAGGCCCCTGTACACATGAAAGTAAAGTCATGATGAGATCTTATGAGCGATTCATAAAATCATGCCTCCTGCCAAGCCACAAATGCATCGCAGCAGGTATGATTTTGGGATTACACTTTAGAACCCATCGCACCTTTCTGCTGGTGCGAGAAGAGCCCAATCCCAGGCTCCCCTGCAAAAAGAAGGGTCCTGCAGCTGGGAGCCTCCTCTACTGACAGGGCTCCCAGGCATGGAGGCACCCCATGCACCTCCATGATTGGGGAACTGCAACCACTGTGATCTTCCAACCATGGGGCACCCCATGCGCCCCCAGGTTTGGGACATCAGAGCAGGACTCTCAGCTTCAGCTGTGCCCAAGCTGAGAGTCCCACAGCTGAGGGGATTCTCAGTCCCAGCTGCACTGTACACACAGCCGAAGCTGAAAGTCCTGCAGCTGCAGGACTCTCAGCACTGGCTACACAGGAGACAGCAGCTGTGATCTCCCAGCCACAGGGGACTGCCTACATGTGCAAATTAAAGATGGATAGAAACAAGCTATAAAGCCATTGCACTTTTTTGAGCAAAAACTTTTTAAGGTGTCATAGATAATTTGCACCGGTAGCCAGCGTATATTTATTGTGCAATTAACTATGTCATTGCTTAATAGATATATTAAGATATATTACTACACCTAAATAATGATCTCTTGGCATAGTAATTATATGAAATGAATATGAATTTTCATCTTAGATGTCATTTTTTTTCCAGCCGGGCTGCGTAAATACGACTGAAGTGGATATAAAAAAGTCTTCAAGGATGAAAAATCCTCACAAAACAAGAAAGGTAAATGCTGAGTTTGGATAGAAAGCAGTATATCTCATCATTTGACATGTTCTTCAGTTCTTTTAATGAATGAAAATATAACCCCCCTTTTCTTTGCATTGTACAGATAAATCAAAATATTTCCTTGCCTCTTCATGCCTTTAAATGACAAATTAACAGGAAATGTATTTAAAAAAAAATAAGGCATTGTTTTCTTTAGATTGCATTATTATAGCACTGTTTGTGGGCTATTTAAGGAGACTGAACATATGAATCTTATGCAGTCCACGCATACAAAGCCTTAGAACAACTTTCCAACTTTTGTTTCAGTTCTCTAAACCAAAATATGTAACTACTATCACAAGACCTTAAAAGATATGAAGGGAATAAGTTAAATGTGTTGCTTTCAGTTATTGAACACACATGGTTTATACTTACTATCCAAATTATAATGTTTTCTATGAAAAAAGGAAAATGGCCTAGAATTTTTGCTTGCAATATATATGTCAGAGCCCCAGTAACAACAGTGGGTTAATAATAGCCCTGAAGGGAAAAGGATCTAGTTTAAGGTGAAAGCTTTTCCTCAATTGAAACATTTGAAATGTTGATATTCATATCAAATTCCAGATTTTACAAATCACCTCTATTTGTAATGGGCTGGACTGATACAGTACAGTGTATAGCAATCCACCTGAACTCTAAGACAGCCAATATCAGGTTAAGCCCATATTCAATGTAAACTATTCCTTTTAGTTAGCTTATGGTCACATTCCATATAAAGGACTGAATCAAAAGGAAGTCTGGATTTGTTGACATTTTCAGTACCGTTCTGTGTGTACTGATCAAAGTTTTCAGACATTAGTCATCTATAAAACGTTCACCATACATTTGGAAGCTGTACAAATAATAATTAATCATGACAGCATACCTCTCAGTTTCCTGTTCCTTCTCTTCCTGCCAGCCATTTCCACCCACTGAGATAGCTGCCTTCCTGTGTCATCTCCACTTCCTACTTTACTAAAATAATTAAGGAACATAAAATATGGTAGTTTTAGCATCCTATGACACCATGAAATTGTGCATTTTTATAAGAATCCTTTAATACTTATCCCAACACTGAAATACAGATTATTTTTTTCAGTATGTGGTGTACATACTTGAGTACTAATGTAAAACTTCCGAAAAAAGAGTTAAAAGTATATATACAGTTTCTATAGGCACAAGTAGAGTACACATTGAAGACAAATGTCTGTCTTTCCATGTTTTTGTGTAGTCTGTCTATGGATTACAAAATGACATTCGAAGTCACAGTCCTACCCATACACCAATACCAGAAGCTAAGCCACCCACAGAAGATGAACTACATCAAGAGGTTTGGAAAACAAATGAACTTTTAAACAACCCATTAAAACATGGCAATTAGATTCAAAAGTTACCGTAACTTGCAAGGATATTTATTTAGCATGTAAATATGTAGAGGAAATAAAATCTGACTTTTTTTTCTTTCCCCTTCTTTCAGTATTGGTGGACTTATGCATTTAGCTTCCATATTAAGACTAATGGGAGTAACATTAACATTTTTTAGTCTTTATTAACAGTTTAAGCTTTACCGACAATCCACTTATTGGGTACTTTCTATAATTAAACCCATCAGCCTTTCAGCACTAAGCAGCTTGCTCACTCTTATTTTCAACATTTTCATTTAACGTTTCAGGGCGTAGTTGCATCATGGTGCATGCATATGTGGGATATACACCTATATCTGCCATTAATGCTTCGTGAATCTTTCCTAGAGCAATAGAACTTGTAGAAGATGCATGGCTGAGCAGTTAATGGCTTTCTTTGTAAGAAATTTTAAAAATGCTAACTGGCTTTCTGTTGATGAGCCCTGAGGAAAATATGTTAAATCAGTCCCTTTTTGGCTTTGTATAATTATTTATATTTACTAGAAAGTTACATTTACTCTAGAAATATAATATTGAAATGTCAATATAGTTCATCTATACTTTTTTTTATACCTTTGGATAAATTAAGATTTAATAAAAACGAAAATCCTGAAAATAGAGCCAGGCCATGAATTACTCATAACATTTTGCTTTCTCTTCTTGCAGATTAAGTATTGGCAAATACAATTAGATAGACATCGATTAAAAATGTCAAAAGTTGCAGAGAGGTAAGTACTTTGTCACATCCGCTATTTTTGAAGTACTCTAAGAAGCATAGGGAGAGAATCTGTGTAAAGAAACGAAACAGGAGAATGAGACAGGGGAGCTAGGATATTATTGAAAATCACTGAAGAGAGTTTTCTTTAAATGTGAGTTCTTCAGTTATGACATGTATCTTATTTTCTAATATGGTGCAAATAAATACCATTCCTGCTAGTTTAGGCTGAAAAGAAAAAAAGTGCGTATGTATGGCCAGGGAAGGAAAGATGCTGAAATCGCTTTGTACAAACTCCTTGACTGTCTATCCTAGGAAAATAATTACCTGCTTTTCCAGAACAGAGTGGTGAAAAGGCTGTAGTATTCCAAGGGCAGATGAATATCATGTGTCCGTACTGTACAGGACATGTATCCACTACTTGCAGCTCTAAACTTCAGAGCCTAGTTATTTCTTATAGGGAGCATCTGCGCGTGCACTTAAGTGCTACTAAATTTTATGTGTATTAAGCTAATACGCATTAAGCGATTTTGGCAGGTGTCTAAACATTCAGGGACTTGGCACTAAAGTTAGTGCCAAGTACCTGCAGCACTGCCATGTGCCCCTGGTGGCTGGGCAGACCAGGCACTAAAGTTAGTGTTGGGTCGCGTCTACATGTGCGTTAATGCACTTTAACTAATCGTGCCTAAATTTGATACCTGCATTTTCAGGTATCAAATTTAGGTATGATTAGCCTAATTTCACCATTTTTAATGCACATGAAGGGAACGCATGTGTAGATGCATGCTCATAATTCACATTAAATTAGGCTAATGCACATTAATGCATCTTGCATAGATGCACCCTTGTTATATGGACTTATCTTTGGTTTTGCAAATACTTAATTTGATTTCCGTTGCTAAAGAGGTGCCCACACAAATATATATCCTCCTTGTTAAAGTTATTAGGGAGTCCTGTCTAGGGAATATGACTGATTTTGACAAATTTTAACAAGCCTGCACCATGTCTACTCCCCAGTGACTGGAACAAACAAAAAGAACCCCCACGCCCCACACCCTCTACTAACTCTTTTTTCCATTGTTTGCCATCTTTCCCCCAACATTAACTTTCCAGAATACTCTCATTCCACCCTGCCTTCATGTGAATGTGCAATACCACCAAGTCTGTATAGGTAAATAAGGCAACCATAAAGCCCCATGTTCATAGTTATCCCTGTTTCATAAAGAACATCTTTGCCCTGTTTTTTCTAAAGCTCAGGAGATTGGTCAGCTAAATCTGTGGAAGTGAAACAGACTTTAATTAGAGTGACTAGGACTTAGTTCCATCTAAGTCCTAAAACAGACTTTAATGAGACATTAACCAGACTGAAACAATCTGTGTAGCTCAAGAACCTGTCTCTGGATCTCCCATGCAGCGATGCTGTAGCTTTGCCTCATATCTATGTTCTCAATGAGCTTCTTTTCCTCAGCTGGTCCATCCACACCAAGAGTCGAACCCACTTAAATAGGAATGAGGCTCATATCAGACTGATGGGGTAGATGTGTAAATGGCTAGCCTCTCTCTCCAGACCAGAGAGGAGAAAAATAGCATCCCAGTCTCTTTTTAAGCTGTTCCCTTGTGGTATGGCATGTGATGGTAATTCAAACATAATTTGCAGGTGAACCAAAAACAATGATTGTTCTCAGGATCAAATCAGTTTGTACAGGCTTCTCTCTCTGTTCTGCAACTGGCCACAAATGAGCAAACATATTCTCTTTTAGATGCTTCCACCAGCTAAGGTGGAATCAAATCAGGAGACCCTTTAATTTCTCCAAACCAGATCAGAACCCTCTGAATAGATTCAGAGAGATTTGATGATTCAGACATAGACACAGCTTTAAATGTTTTTCTACATACCTCAAGGTACCAGGCAGCTCATGAACGCTGAGATGGTGAGGTGGATGGAACATCCCACAGAAGTGCGGGGAGGGGTCCCCAGAATGCTTGGCGATGGACCCAGAAGTGGATGAGAAGCATATCCAGTCCACTTCCAGGTCTGCTGCAGATTATGTGGGGACCAGCTCAGAGACTGGTGCCTCCTGGTTCTATGGGAGTACCCGGGGTCCCCCCGCAGCTGAGCTGGTGGGAGTGCAGTGGGGGGTCCATTGCTGAGCATGAAGCGGGCCCCCCCACACTCCTGTGGGATGTTCCATCCCCCCCACCATCTCAGCATTCAGAAGCCATGCCTGATACCTCAAAGTATGTAGAAAAAACATTTAAAGCTGTGTCCATGGCCGAATCGCTGATTCTCTGAAACAGCATTGAAACTTCAGATTTGGATTTGGCCAAATTGAATTGGGACAGTGATCTGAATCAATGAATTGAATCACTGTCCCCTGAATTGGACTGAATCTGAATCAAATACAGCCTGCTTTGCACATCCCCAATGCTTTGACAATCAAAGATGACAACCAGTCTTCTATAGAGTGTTTAACTTACTGCTTATTAATTTAGGTTTCCTGAATGAAAGGCTATGTTACTAATTTTAGCAATAAAATTATTCTATTTCAGTGCTTGACAAGCTAGGAGACACTTTGCTTTGCTTTTTAAGAATAAGATTCCTAATCATAAAACTCATTAACTACATAATGTCTGATGCTTTATTTTCCAAGTCTATTAGCCTACACAGAGCAGTATTTGGAATACGATCCATTTCTTATGCCCACTGACCCTTCTAACCCTTGGATATCGGATGACACTACTTTCTGGGAACTTGAAGCAAGGTATGTAGTTTTCTTTTATGTGTAGATAAAACCACACAAGTGTAATAGTAGGCAAATTCAGGATTTCATAAAGGGAGGTGCAGGAGCAGAAACCTGTGCTGAGGGGGTGGCTGCACCCCTGCTCCCTCCTTGCATGCCATGCAGGCAGACTATACACAGGAGCAGCAGTGGAAGATTTTTTTTTTAAGTTCCTCAAGCATATAAAAATCTCCCCCACCTTCCCTGTGTTCAATGACACATTCCCTTCTCTCCCCTCCCCTCCTCTCTCTTCCCATCCCCTCCCTTCTCATATCTGCCACTTCTGCCATCCCCAGATGACTCAGGGATGGAAGGGACTCCAGAGCCACCCCTCCCCCACTCCAGCTGGACTGCACATGGAGGCAGGCTTGGCTTAGAGACAGTAGCAGCATCAGGTGCTTCCCCCACACCTGGGAAAACTGGGCAGGAAGGAGGAACCCACCTGCTGCTGCCACTGTGCCTAGTAGAGCCCAGCTGGATTGGTTCTGGAGCTCCCACTCCACCCCCTACCCTGTCTCCAGCTTCATCCCTGGGACAACCTGAAGACAGTGGCAGCAGTGGGTGAGGTTGAGGAGGCATGGATGGGAAGGAGAAGGGATGTGCCACTAAGCATAGAGGCAGGATTGTTACTTGTTTTGGGGACTTAAAAAAAAAGTTTCCAGCTGCTGGTCCCATGGCATGGTCAACTGAAAGTGGGGTGCAGGAAACATGAAAGTATGAAAGACTGCAGAATCCATACTTGCCATTTCCAGGCTTCAACTAGAGAGAACTGCCTCATTTTAGATTTGGATCACAACTGTCCTCAGATGAGATTGCCCCTTTTCATAAGTGCATACATATACCTAGGTTACATTGATTAAGTGTGGAGCATGCTTGGTTGAATGACAGTGAACCTCTGAACAGTGCACAAGCACAAATATGATGTGGAAGGTAAGAAATATGAAGCTGGACTTGTGGAGTTCATGTAAACATACAATGCTGAAGTACTAGTTACTGTTTTTTTCCCCCTTCTTCCACTTCCACTCTCAGCAAAGAGCCAGGACAGCAGAGAGTAAAGCGATGGGGTTTTGGCATGGATGAAGCACTGAAGGACCCTGTTGGAAGAGAGCAGTTTCTTAAATTCCTGGAGTCAGAATTCAGCTCAGAAAACTTAAGGTGAAGCTGAGGACTTTTATCTTTCAATAGCTTTCAAGACATGTTCTGTATGTCTGTTGCTATTCTTTTCTTGCTGCTCACTTTGTACTCACAGCTGCATTGCTGTTTTTTTATTCTTTAGGTTCTACTCCTATGAATTGCTGCAATTGCTCTCAATTTCCAGTAAGTCTGAGAGTTGAGGTTGTTCAGGCTTACAACAGACTTTAATAGTGTGTGCATCTGTTGACTAAGCATATTTATCACTCTGGTTACTATCAGCTTTTAGCAAAGTAATTTGAGTAGAAACCTTTATCTTGAAACTCATCCCCAAAATACTGACCACTCACAGGTTATTCAGCATATATTAACACTGTGGGGGGATGGCAGGAATTCAGCATTTTTGGCAGGAATGCCATAAAGTAGTCCCTCCCAAAGTGCCACTCTGATCCCCTTCTCCTATCCAGTCTGATTTCTGCTCTATGCCTTGTGCTGTCTGCCTGAGCTGCTGCTCTACTTCCTTTCTCCTCCACAGTCTGCTATCTTACACACACACACAGCCTGCCCATGCCACTTGTGGCACCTGTGCTGCAGGTTGGCCACCTCTGTTTTAAGGAATAAACTGACAGGGAGCAGACTTAGACTAGACATTAGGAAGAACTTCTTTACGGTAAGGGTCACCAGAATCTGGAATGGGCTTCCAAGGGAGGTGGTGCTCTCCCCTACATTGGAGGTTTTTAAGAAGAGACTGGACAAAAACCTGGCTGGGGTCATCTGACCCCAGCGCTTCTTCCTGCCCAGGGCCAAGGGTTGGACTCAATGTTCTTTTGATGTCCCTTCTGACCCTGAAAATCTATGAAATATATGAAATGCAGCATTAGAATAAACTTACATGGAGAGATTGTTCCAACATGACTAAGAGATTTAAGACCATTGGTCCCCGTGGACTTTCGCTGGGATTTTTGCTCCTAAATGCTTTAGGAGCTTTTGCAAATCTCTCCTGTAGTAAGTGAAAATAACAATAAGGTTATCCAATAGTAGTGGTTAAACATGAAATGATTAATGTTACTTCTTTCTTTCATGTGTGATTTCCAAAAATATATATATTCTTCAGGAATGACTTAATAAAAAGGTGGTGTATGTGTGTGAGGTTAAAGCTAAATGTCTCTAGTTAAAATTATTTCAGATATCAAAAATGTTCCAAATAATTTTATATACAGGCATACCTCGGAGATATTGCGGGTTCGGTTCCAGACCACCGCAATAAAGCGAATATCGCAATAAAACGAGTCACACAAATTTTTTGGTTTCCCAGTGCATATAAAAGTTATGTTTACACTATACTGTAGTCTGTTAAGTGTGCAATAGCATTATGTCTAAAAAAACAATGTACATACCTTAATTAAAAAAAAACTTTATTGGTAAAAAATGCTAACCATCATCTGAGCTTTCAGCGAGTCGTAATCTTTTTGCTGGTGGAGGGTCTTGCCTCAATTTGTAAAAAACGCAATATCTGCGAAGCACAATAAAGCGAAGCGCAATAAAACGAGGTATGCCTGTAATTATAATCAAACTATTGGTAAATGCCTCCATATTTACTTGAGTCCAAAATGAGGTTTTTCCCCTCATTCAGCACGGGGGGGAAAAAAACCCTTGTATTTGATTTGAATACAAGGCAGAACAGGAAGCAGGTGGCTCTCATGGCTCTGACTGTGGCCCTGAAGCTGCAGGGGACAGGTGAGTGAGTAAGCATTGCAAGAGGGCAGAGGGTGGGGGAAAAGGGGCTGCCTGCCCCCATCAGCTGTCTGCCCCTGCTGCTGCTTTTCCCACTGTAGCAGTGGGGGGGATGAATTTATGACAGCCCTCCAATAATTAAATTCTATACATGGAAAATGACAACATATTTATAAATTATCCATATATAAAAGCTAATTATTGGGCAGTCACTTTAAATTTTAAGTCATTTTGGCTTTGGGTAAATGCAGTATTTCGTTATAGTAGTTCTAATGGAGTCATAATAAAGTCCTATGCATTCAGCAGAACTATATATGTACATATCTGTGTGTGTACTCTCTATATAGAAGTACTATGTATTATATGTATATTGTGTGCATATATTGAACTATTCTATATTTGTACTATATATCTGTGTATTATATATAGTACTTCTATATACTTCTGGAACTCATAGACATATATTTTCAGAAGTAAAATCTACCTTAGACTTAGAACATATATGTATAACTTCTAAGTTATGTAACTAATATGCATAATACCTAATACATATATTACTCCTATATTTATATGTGTGTGCACACATGCATGTGTGCATGTGTGCGTGCACACACACATAAAAACACACACACCTATAATAATGGAGTGATCTGTGTATTAAGCAATATGTATATAATATTAGATAATATATGAACTTCTAAGGTTAATGTAGATTTTACTTCTGAAATATATGTCTATCATATGTTTAAATAATGTACATGTACACACACACACACACACATATATGGTAATATCTATCTATAACTTCTATATGCTATATATAGTACTTCTAAGGTTAATGTATGTTGAATTTTATTTCTGAAAAGTATTTCCATCACAACCCCATCCCCATGCTTTCACCCAAGTATTAGTTCCCATGGCTCAGCTGTAAATTCCTTAAAAATTTTTGCAAACATAGCAATGCTGAGACCCTGATCTCATTTACTCCTGTATAATGTCCCAATTCTGAAAGATGAAACCAGGCTCAGTTGCTAAAGTTGAGGTAACAGAACATCTCATAGAAGCCATTGAGCATGTTGCTGCATAGGTCTCCAAACCTGGAATAACTGTACTTACTGCCTGAGTTTATCTGAAACTTACAACAGGATAACTGAGAACTGAGTCAGCATTATTACCACACCATATATAACCTATTCAGACTTGCAGTTTAGAGGCTTCGAAATTAAGTTTGAATTTAATAGAGTACGATGGGAAAGTCAAGTATTAATAAAGACAAGTTATTGAACAAGATTGGACCAAAAATATCAGTGCAATATTCTGGATGACCCTGATCCTACCTGATATTTTCCCTGGATTTCAGCAGTAGTAAGACTGGGCTCAGTATGCAATGTTGTTAAACCCATAAGTTTTAGGAGGCAGTCTGGAATTTAAAAAGCTGAATAAGCATTAAAATGAAAGCTGTTTATCTAAATGGTACAAAGGAATGGAAAAGTTTCTTTTTATTTTAAAAATGTCCTAGTAATTTCTTATGCATGGTATCTGTTCAAATGTAAACCTATTCAATCTACCTACCGTAGGCTATGTTTTTCTAGTTTTCTGCAGCTGATTTGTCTTGCTGCCAGCTAGACTTTTACCAGCATAATCCCTGGCTCTTTTCTTTAATCCTATTTACAACACTAACCATAGGCAATTTTTAAATGACTGTTCCAGCAAAATACCCTAGAGAAATTTGTTTGGAGCTGATTCCTCAATGTGCCATTGACCATTATATCTATCTGTCTATGTTCTTATATGGGCATGGTAAAACATAATATCTTATGGGTGCCAGCTGGAAAGGTTGCCCCTGGGAAGTGTCAGAAAAAGAATAAACTAGTCCCATATGAATGAGAATCAAGATGAGCTCAGTGATAGAAAAATAATAAATTAAATTAAATAATCATTTTATGCATAATGACAAAGCTTTGTATCCTACTGTATCAGCAGGGACATGATCATTCCAGGTGTAATTATGACTTACTCCTGAGTTCATACATTTAAAAGATAGCTTATCAACTACACAGTGGTAGATTTGGGGACCTTAGGGAATAAAATAATCTTTCTATTAGTTTGGCAAAACAATTTGCTTCCATCAGCAGCTCCTTATGATTGTGATATAACTAATGGAATCTCACACTTGAGTTTGTCAGCTGTTATCCTTTCATAGCTTTAACTATGATTGACTCTACAACAAGCATCATCAAAACTATAGGTGCAGCAAAGAGATGGGACCACGGCAGACTGAGCTGCCAAGCTCTATAGAAAACGTAACAATGGACTTCAAAAATTGACGAAATGTTTAGTAATAATAAAAAGAGAAGTCCGCTGCCCAGGTCAATGAAAGAAATGACAGAGATATGATTGTAACCAAGTGGACACAATGATTACATTACAGCATGATCATTTGCATCTTATACCATTAATATTCTCAATTTTATATGTTTATGCACTCAGGCTGGGAGGGGGTAGAATCAGGACTGGCAGCCTTTGTCTTGTATTATGGAGAATGGTACAAGATGAAGAAACTTATGAGTCACTTTGGGATTTGGAAGACATGTATTCAGTTCTTTGTTATGCAACAGACTGCATAACCTGAAGCAAATTAATCAATCTGGGCATATCTACTTGAGACATTTACTGTGGAGCTACCTAATTAGCTCCATAGTAAACATTTTGCTGTCTATACATTAGGTCTCAGGAAACTAATAAACTCTGCAGCTGGTTAGTACTTGTAAATATAAGTACTATCCTGCTGTTGAATGTTTTCATGAGCAGCAATGCATGTGTAGATGCTTACAGGGCTGGTTGGGGCACAAGGGTGCTTCATTGTGGGGGTTACCTGCCAGCTAGCTCCACACTGAAGCACCCTCGTGCCCCAGCCAGCCCCTCGACAGCACATTTAGCTGGGTCCGAACAACCCTGGGTTGGCAGGCTGACCCCTGGGCCCTCCGTCACCTGGGGCTGCTCCAACCTGGCTCAACATGCTCCAGTCCCAAGTGTGCATGTAAACACAGCTCCCAGAGTAATAAACTCCCATGGCATATGCACCAGAGTTTATTGCTGGGCATTAATATGCACATGTAGATGACCCCTTTTTGTCTTTGTTTCTTATTTTAAAATAGGGTTAATGGCATCTCACTACCTCACAAGAGATGTGCACATAAGTCCTGTACTGGAGGTGAGGTTCTCAGATACTCCAGTAATGAAAAGGTATGGGAGCATAGTAGACATATCAAACATAACTCAAAACTTCT